AGCTGGGCATGGTAGCGCGCGCCTGTAGTTCCAGCTACTTGGAAGGCTGAGGCGGAAGGATCACCTGAGCCCGGCAGGTTGAGGCTGTGGTGGCTGGGAGCGGCCACTGCACTCCAGTCTGGGCGACAGAGTGAAACTCCAACTCAAAAATAAATAAAAAATAAAGTGTAACTGATTCACGGTGCTTGACACAGTACATGGCACAACGTCATCAACATAATGGGTCATTTCTTGAGAATAAATGTGATAATGGTAAGGCCAAGTCAATAACATTTTAAAAGAGTGCTCTTTTTATCGATGCCATCTCTCTTTAAATAATTCCACTTTGGTAAGTAACATACCAGCTATTAATATATCCAGGAAAGTCAAAGGACTAGGGTCTCTTTCTAGGTCAGTCAATTCAAGTCACAAGAAAGGAAGACTCTCAACCACTGTCATTCAGCATAAGAGTACTCGGTACCTGGTAATATTCACCATTCATCACTCCATCAACAGCATCTGCAAAACAAGATTTTGGTGTGTCAATCAGGACTGGTCAAATACTGGGAAAGAGGGTTTATACAGTAGAATACAGCACTACGGGCTATATGAACCAGGAGCTATGAAATGCTATCCCTGTGGTAGATGCTAGATATAACGCCTCCGAAAGTGCTGGCTTTATAGGTGTGCCTCACCATGCCCAGCCTAATAACTTTTTATTTAGTGAAACCCAGGTGTACTTATACAAACATGACAAATGACTTCACCAGAATGCAGACATATCTGTCCTCAAGCTCTCAAAACCTTCTGAGATTCTGTTTTCTAGCTTCGAGATGACAAATGGAAGCCTAGTAGAAGAGCCCCACAGAACAACAATATCTCTCTATGAAAGATGCCTGAACGAAGCATATTTGTATACCTAACCCTAAACTGTACCCCACAATATCAAAATAAAAAATATTGATTAAAAAAAGAAAGTTCTGGAGAAGACAAAGGAAAAGTGTGACCTGGAGTCATTCAGTGAGCACAGTTACGGCCTGATTTTCAAACAAGGTGCTTTCTTTGGAGTCAGGACTCTCCATCCTGTGGCTATAGTAGGTTTGGCACGTAGTGGTTTACAGTTGACACTTTTTGTTAATTCCTCTAGCCCACTTGGAACTAGTACAAAACTGTTAGGCCCTGGGCAAGCCAAATTAAATGTTTTCAAGGATGTAGGCTATAAAGACTGAAAGTATGACATAAAATCCAGTCTTTTGGGCATAATTAACTATTCAAGAGTTAAATGACAATGTCCACCTAAATAAAAACTACGTATCTCCTCCCATATAGTACAATAGGGTAGTCCATGTCTCAAAACAAAACAAAAAACTGATTAGCTACAAATCAACCCTAATATTTTATCCATTCTTTTGGTCCTTATGCTTCTCTTTCCCCTCCCCTTGGCTTTGGGAGTACTAAAAATATTTACAGATCATTTCCCACTATGCCCTCCCTGATATGAAATAGTCTTTTTTTGGCGGGGGTCAGAGTCTCACTCTGTCGCCCAGGCTGGAATATAGTGGCGCACACACGGCCACCACAGCCTCAACTTGCTGGGCTCAGGCGATCCTTCCATCTCAGTCTTCCAAGCAGCTAGAACTAAAGGTGCACCACCCTGCCTGGCTAATTTTCAAAATTTAATCGTAGAGATGAGGTCTTACCAACTTGCCCAGGCTGGTCTCGAATCCCTGGGCTCAGACAATCCTCTTGCCTCCACCTCCCAAAGTGCTAAGATTCTAAGTCTGAGCCACTGCTCCCGGCCAATATTGTTTTTTAAAAAGGGAAAATGACGACAGAAAGTACCATGTACTTTCATCACTCAGTCCATTGGTTTCTAACCTTTTAGTTTCTCTAATGCTAATATATATACATATATAAAAAACTTCTTTCAGCAAAACCAGACTTCTCCAACACAAGCTTTCTAGTAATTCATTCATATCTATATCATTAAATTTTCAACTTTTTTCATATGAAAACAGCTACTACTTATTGCTCCCAGCGTTAAACACTTTATATATGCTAAGTTTTAATCCTCACAAGCTTATGCATATGAACACTTCACATATAACCTTAGAATATGGATAGGATTCCTCTGAGAGGTGAATAGGTGTTCTTGAAGATGCGGATAATAACAATATTCTCTTTTAAATTTATTTTTTATGTTTAAGATAATAAGGAAAATACTAAGTGCATGTATTATGAGAAAATCAGCCTTTAAAAAGTAGTGCTAACTTGAACTAGGATGACAGAGAAAAGATCATCTGTTAACCTGATATGTGAATACAAATCACAGGACCCAAGCACTTAGCAATCCACCTCGGCATTTTTTTTGAGTTGGAGTCTCACTCTGTCACACAGGCTGGAGTGCAATGGCACACTCACAGCCACCACAGCCTCAACCTGTGGGGCTCAGGCAATACTTCCACCTCAGCCTTCCAAGTAGCTGGAACTATAGGCGTGCACCACCATATCTGGCTAATTATTTTATTTATTGTAGAGATGAGTTCTTGCCAAGTTACCCTGGTTTCCAACCCCTAGGCTCAGGCAATCCTCTCATCTCTGCCTCCCAAGTGCTGGGATTACAGGTGTGAGCCACTATAGCTGGCCTCTTCAGCTTTGATCTATTTTTCAACTACTAGTTTGTATACATCATGATTATTTCAATATATTCTTCATATTTTTCTTAAATTTCCCTTATTGTTTTTTACTCCTATGCTTTTTCATGACAGTACAAAAATGAGTTTCTTATAGTTTTGGTCAGTGGCTTTTTACTACTTTAAACCATATGCCATTTACCCATATAATTTTCTATCATTGTACCAATTTTTGGAAATATTAAGTTTATCAAAAAACTAACCAAATCATTTGAGGGCGCATATTCAATTGCTCCTCTGTAATAAATTCCTTAATGTAGAATTGCTGGGTCACAGGATGTAATTGTGTGTGTATACATATAAATATTTTGGTTTTTTGAGACAGGGTTTCACTCTGTTGCCCAGGCTAGAGTACAGTGGCATGGTCACAGTCCACCACAGCCTCGACCTCCTGGGCTCAGGTGACTTTTCCACCTCAGCCTCCCAAGTAGCTGGGATTACAAGTATGCACCACCATGCCCAGCTAATTATTTTATTTTTTGTAGTAATGGGTCTCAAGGTTTCACTATGTTGTCCAGGCTGGTCTTGAACTCCTGGACTCAAGCTATCCTCCCGCCTCAGCCTCCCAAAGTGCTGGAATTACAGGCAGGAGTCACTGCACCTGGCCTATTTTAAAGACTTCTAAAACACTAACCGCTTGCCCCCATCAGCCTACCAGTTTATATTACTACCAGCAGCACACAAGTGTACCATTTCTTAGACCTTCACAATACTAGTGCCTGTGCTTTATCATGTTTATACAGTTTTGCTAATTTGATAAAACTAAGTGACTTTATTGTGCCAATCTTATTTCCTGTGAGGTAATCACGTCTGACACTTGATTTTCTTCTTTATTGAACTGTCTGAACTTGCCTATTTTCCTATTTTAAAATTGTTATCGCTAAGTATTCTCTCAGTATTAATAGTCCTCTCCTATTGCAAATATTTTCATTTTGTCTTTTAATTTGGTTTGTTTTTTAATACCTAGAACTAAAGTTTTGTATACACCATCAAGTTTTCCTTTATGATTTCTGCATCTGCTTTTATGCTGAAGGTCTTTTCTACCATAAGATAGATAAACACTTTTCTTCTGTTACTTTTTAAAATGCTTCTCTTTAACTCACCTAGAATTTTGTTTCTGTATAAGATAGAAAAGAATGATAAAGTTTTAAATTCTAGATCCTTGGCCGGGCATGGTGGCTCACGTCTATAATTCTAGCACTTTGGAAGGTCGAGGTGAGAGGACTGCCTGAGCCCATGAGTTCAAGACTAGCCCGGGGAACTTGATGAGACCTCATCTGTACAAGAAATAAAAAAATTAGCTGGGTGTGGTGGCGCGTGCCTGAAGTTCCAGCTACTGGAAGGCTGAGGTGGAAGGATCACCTAAGTCCAGCAGGTTGAGGCTGTGGTGGCTGTAAGCATGCCACTGCTCTCCAGCCTGGGTAAGACTGAGACTCCAACTAAAAATAAATAAATAAATAAATTTTAGAGCCTATGGTAACTAGTCCAGGCGGGCCTACATTATGGTTAATATATTACAGCTAACATACCAGTTATCCACTTAATATATTCCGGCCCAGGGTCATTCTCAATAGCAGAGATTTGATTACTACTCCATACACAAAACTAAAAGCAATCCTCATCTCACACCTCTGTTGAAATCACATGCTGTTGGTCTGAAGACTTAGCCAGACCCACTGACATGTGCTCTGCCCTCTATTAGTTACTGTATTACTGTACTGATATTCTTGTATAAATCAACAACCGGCTCAAGTCAAAGGATAGTCTGTTGCATCAAGGACATCCAAGGACTTGACTTACTAGGACAACTAAACTAAGCAACCCAATGCTCCAGTAGGAAACTTTCTAGGGCATCTCAGGAACTCCAGACAGAAACAAGGGCCACAGGAAGTTTCCAAAAGTGAAAAACTTTCTGTCTCAAATCCACCTTCAACTTCCCATGTGCCCCAACATATGAAGTCAAATAAACCTAGGTTTGAATTCCCACTTGAGACATTTATTAGCTTGCTACCTCAGGAACACTGCTGGATTTCCATTCTCATCTGAAATATGACACTGCCACTTAACCTGCAGAGCTACTGCAGGGATAGGAAAGTAAATGGAGTATCTGGTATCCAGTAAATGTGCAGTATAATTAAATAACAAGTGCATGATTTCCCTAAACTTCTCTCCGCCCTGCTACCAACTGACATTACTATCCTGCTTCAGAAAGCTTCCCTTTAATTCACCCTACCTCTTTTTGTCTTCTACAAGAAATAACTCGTCAAAAGCATAATAAATATTGCCACAACGCTATAATCTCTCCATAGCTCCTTAATCACCTCTCCTGTTCTACTACCCCGTCAGCCCTCAAGACTGAGAGCTTTTCAATAGCTCCACTTGTGCTGCCTCCTTATTGGCCACCTATTTTCTTCAGTGTCTCCCAAGTCACTTCACCAAGGTGGTTACCTCCTGTCTCTAAACTTATATTTCTACTCTGGATCTAACTGAGGCCATCACTTCAGTCCTAACCCCTCTGGTTTTTGCCTAAGACCGTCCTCTGTGGAATATTTTTCCCCATGGCTGGGGCGAGTTTAGATAACTTTCTCTTCCGTCAATCTGTTATAGTCTACTGCCTATATATACTGTATAACACATCAGAAAGAGTTCCCACATAAAATCTCTCAATTTCCTCAGTACACCTCAAGGCTTATAGGCCTTATAACTCCTTTCTTCCCCTACTCCCAAGGAATAATAGTAGCTGGAATTCACTGGGTGCTTACCACACATCTGTAGGCACTTAACACATACTCTTTAAGGTAATCCTAAAAAGGCTATACAGCATATAAAATACACCTTTTATAGAGGAAAAAACTGAGGTCAGGCAATGGTGGTAGTTATATAAACTGCCTGAGACCACAAACCTAAACTTACACTCAAGTAGTGTAGGGCAGCACAAAATCTTAACCACTAGAGCATCTCTAAGAAAGAAAAGAAAGAAAGAGAGAGAGAGAGAGAGAGAGAGAGAGAGAGAGACAGACAGACAGAAACTGAGCAATTAGTTCTCTAACCCCCAAAGGAAATGCTGACCACTGCATTATTACCAACCTCAACTACATTGTCAGGGATCTGGCTTTAAGTCACTAAATGCTTAGTTCACTAAGAAAGACCTTCCTAGGAACTAAGTCAGCAATCATCCCTTTCCTTCCCTTTGCTGAAAGCTTGATGCACAAAGAACTTAATTATTCAACTATATGCTCTCTCTTTTATCTTCCCAAACTTCCCACTACAAAGCTCTGCCAGTTCTATACATGACTCTTGGATCTAACATTTTTGCCCATTTCTCGGACAAGCGTGTGAACATCTACGATGAGTCAGACACACGTGTGGGTAATGAAGATACAACATAAGCAAGAAAATGGCCCTGAGTCAGGACCATACTATGGGTCTTGGATCTTACTTCTCCCAACTGTCCTCCCCAGGACAGCCACAATTGCCTTTCTTATCCCACCACACCCCTGCTAAAACAAGTGTAAGATAAAATGGTACAGTCCATAGATAGGGAGACTTGGGGCTTAGCTATTAACTCGCTAAAACAAGTGTAAGATAAAATGGTACAGTCCATAGATAGGGAGACTTGGGGCTTAGCTATTAACTCGTCCTTTTTTCTTAAGCAAGTCTCTTCTTTCTAGGATTGTTTTCTATTAAACGAGAGAGGTTAAACTAAAGATCTAAGAGGTAAGTTTTTAAATCCTCAGCGGAATGTTAAAAATCAGCCAATGAAAACATCCCCTAATCACTTAAGGTCAATTTCACCTTCCAATCACAGCCAAGTCCAAACTACTTGCTATAAATTGCATATTCAGGCATATTACATGTTCTCATGGAAGTTCTTATTAGGGAATTGATTTGCTTAGAAGGCAGGATGGTGTAGTACGAAAACTCAGAGGCTGCAAACTAGCAGCAACATCTCCCCAAAAGGTTCTGCTTGGCTGGCAATGTAATTTGAGATTTCTGGGTCTGAACGCCTTTACACAGAGCACACTCTAGTGCACCAAAACCCCAAGCTCCAACACTTCTACTGTCTCATGTCCACACAGCTTCTCTCATTTATGTTATCTACCTGGTCCCTTAAAGTTTGAGTGTAACAGACACTCCTATTTGCCCCAATAGTGCCCTGTTCTCCTTTAGTTGAAATTTTTTAAGTAAATGAAAAGCCATGTCTCATTTTTTCAAGCTAAATTTCCTACTTTCCTATACTACCGAGTAGGTCTTTTCCACTCATCCTATCCTCCCACACCACACTCCTAAGCATCACACAGTAAGGCATTCAACGGTCAGACTGTTATCCTACCTCTTCTACTTGACTATGGCAGAAAAGGCCACATTCCATTCTCTATTCCCCTCTTCAGCCCTTCCTGATTGGTTCACACTCCTACTGAGGTCAACTGAGGCAATACCAAATGTGTTCCCAGAGGAAGAACCTGAAGTCCTAGTCGTAAGACACTCAAGAATGGTAAAGTCCTATCCCTCCTGGCAGGCTTTTTTTTTTTTT